CTGCCAAGCTGATTGTGGCTGAGCTACAGCATGAAGAGAGCAGCTGCCTTATAGCTGGCCAACCACATATCTATCTAGTACCATCCCATCTCTGCTTATAGGAAACAGACCAACTGGACATCTGGTCTTGTACTGTATATACCTTGTACTGAGGTGGGCAAATTCCAGTGGTCTGGGGGGGGGCTTTTCTCAGCTTAGCAGAGGTTATTTTAACAAAAGGCGCTTTAGCTTTGGGGGGGGGAGAGTCATACTGTTCCTCCTAAAGTACCAGCTCAGGGCTCAGTTGCCCTCATGGCCTTTTTGACCTCTTTTAATTTATTTACTTACTTATTCCTAAATGGTTGTGAGGTGCTATGGGATCTTGTCCACTTCTGCTTTATACCACCACAGACTTTTACAGCTGAAGTTCATACTAGGCTTGACTCTTGTCTAATTTGACTGGCAGCTGCTCTCCAGAGTTTTAGGCAGTCGTCTTTTTCAGACTGGAGGTCATAATGATTGAATCTCACTTCTTGCATGCATAGCATCTAAGCTACCACTGAGCTACCTTTCTGTGTAATTCTAAAGATGGCTTCAGAAATGCCTGCTCAGGAAATGGGCTGAGATTGCAATTGAAGGGCTGAAATCCTGTTGTTTATACAGAATCAGTTAGAATATTCCATATGCCACGAAGTGCAATCTTTATTTATTTATTTGGCCCACTGTACCTTTTAGTGAACTTTTTTTGAAAAAATTGAATTGGATGCTTCCTCCCAGAAGTGGGAATAAACAGAAGGAGGCAAGATGGGGACATTTTTTTCTTCTTTATACCTTAGGAAGTCAACTTGCTTTCTCAGGGACAGAAAAACTATAAAGAAAGAAGAAGAAAAACCCCACTCACCTTGCCTCCTCCTGTCTACTCCTGCTTCCAGAAGGAAGCCTTCTTTTAAAAAAAAAAACTTCTCTAAAAGGTACAGTGCATCAGCACTGTACTAGTTGACTTTAAAAAAAAGTAAAGGGGGGAAGTTTCTGACTGTTTAAACCACTAGTGATATGTCCAAATTGAAACCAGCCAGCTCAGTTTGACTGATTTCCAGCAATCACATATGCTGGAAATGAACCAAACCAGACTAATCCTACCCACACCAACAAATGCAGAAGCACCTGAAAGGAACTCAGAAAGATGTGGGCAAGTTGGTTCATTCTCAGGGCAAGTTGGTTCACTCCAGAAAAGATGTCTGTGCTTTAGGAGTGAATCAGCCAGTTCCTGCAGTGGACCATACACCAGGCTAAATGCCTATAAAGTCACCCCCAAGCCACAGCTAGAACAGACCCATTGGATCAGGGACAATTTGGTGAGTCAACTCCTCTGTAATTCCCATCGATTCAGTTGGACTGCTCTAACCGCAACATACTAAGACAAGCAATGCGATTTCATTCACTGTGTTCAGTCTACAAGCATTATTACACATAGGTTGAGGCTCTCTCAGTACATCGGCATATTCACTCTGGATCTACACCTGTGTATATTCTATTTATCTAACCACAGAATGCAACTGATTTCATAGACTGAATCTGTACCACACTCAAATGATGCACCCTTTGATAGTGAATGACTTACCTGGATTTAGCAGTGTTGGAAATATGATTGAATTGTCCGGCAGAAAGGATTAAATTCACAGTGCCCTCAGTGTTTTTCTAGTGTTATGCATTTAAATGTTGATGTTGGTTCCCTTGGCAGGTCAGGGCTTGCCTTCATATTGAACACCAAGTTGTTCTATCTCCTTTCCTACCTGGGGAACCATTCTCGACCATTAAAGCTGAAGGAAAACATTGGCCTACTTTGCACCACTGAACAAGAAGAAATTAATGCATGAGGTCATCACTGGTGTTGAAAGGCTTTGCCTTTCATTGTGAAGAAACCTATTAAGGGGGGGAAACCTACTGTTACTGCTGTCCTGGTGTCCTCCTTTAGGGCAGGTGTGGGCGGAAGAAATAATGAGGACAGTCATAGAAGAGCAAAAGGAAGGTGTAGGTGGAAAAAGTCCTGAATAGGCATTTCTGAAGAGATTTAAGGGATTTCTTAAAGATTATATAATGGTGAAGGGGATTACTGTTATAAGAAACTACTTATTATAGCTGCTTTGTTTATTCACCATGTAATGATCTGTGGTTAATAGACATGTCTAGAATTAATGAATGGTGTTGAATTTTCCCTGCTGTTCACTATAGGAATTGGTTAGTTGAATTTTATGAAAGAGATCTTGCTGTGTGAGAATTGATTTTTAGCCTTGCCCCAGAGATGCATTGCCCCTGGAATTTTGGCAGGGAAGATGATGGCTAGATTCAGATGATCTCCAAATAATAACAGGAATAAGCAACAGTAGGATTTGGACTCCCTCACACCTTCCTACCCTTTACCACTCCATCTGTATCCAAAGAGCTTCTGCTCACGGCTGCCTGTGGTTTTCTGTTTAATCCTCAGGATAGGATCCCAGCTTATGCTTGGGTTCCACAAAGATATCCATGAGTCTTGCTTTATTGGCATATTCGTAACTAGAGTTCAGAAATGTTTCTTGCCTTGGCCACCGCACCCAGAATCCCCACCAGCATGGGATTCTGGGAGTTGTAGTTCAGAAAGCAACATTTCCAAGCTCTGCTCATAAAAATAAACCTCCTCTTTAAATATAAACAGAGCTATGACATAAAAGCCTCAGGCATCCTTATTTCCTCTCATTCCATCCTTCCCATTTCCTCACAGCAAGAGGTGGAATCTTCCCCACATCAAAAGCAGGAGAGACTCTCCATTCAAATGTATGCTCATCCTTGCCTTAAAATATGTATCTGTCTCTTAATTCATTCACTCAGCTTTATAGTGAGGGGAGCAGTGGTGAGACAGGAAAGGAAGCTGCTGGATCTCCTGCTATCTATTTTGCTGGATGTAATCTCAGAGGAGTGGTGTCACCTGTATGGGCTTCCTGGGAAGCCCAGAGGAAATCCACACACAAACCATCTACAGTTTAAGAGTATTATTGATATTAACTCTGATTCAGCACTGCCTGCTGACATGGTTGGGGGGAAAATCTAGGAGATTTGTGGCACTTTAAAGACCAACAAGGCAGTCTTCAAGGGTAACACAAGACTTTTTGATGTTTTTGCCACAGCAGGCAACCCTAACTACCCCAATATCATTATTATCTTCACAGTATTAGCATCATGTGTTTGAAGGAACAGGTCTGCACTCACTGCTGCACCCTGCTATCCGTGTGTCACGGGAAATGTCTGAAGACAGGCCTCTGTTCCTCCTTGTTCATGCCAGAAGCAATCCACTGGTGCTTCTGGAGTGAAAGGATCAGCCTGCAGGCTGCCGTCATTGCCCAGGGGACACCTGAATAAATTCACAGCCTGTTTCCCCTGCCCTTGTGATTTAAAATCAGGATGTTGAATGGGCTCCTATGCTTGGGAAAGTTGCCACTTTTTTTTTTTACTGTAGCACCTAGACCGCTAGCTTTTCCCAACTACAGTGGTGCCTCGCTTAGTGATCACTCTGCATAGCAAAGAAATCGCTTAGTGGTGGTCCCTATGGGAAAAATTCGCTTTGCAATGATCGTGGGGAAGCGATCATCACAAAGCCCCCATTTTCAGCCAGCTGATTGGCTGTTTCAAAATGGCCACCGGAAAAACAAAATGGCCACCCCGCTGTGTTGCCTCGCTTTAGAGGCACCGAAAATGGCCACCCCTATGGAGGATTTTTGTTTAAGGTTAGTTTTTAAGCCCATAGGAACGCATTAATGGCGTTTTAATGTGTTTCTATGGGCTTTTAAAATCCATTTAGCAATGAAATTGCTCAGCAACGTTTTTCCTGCACTGATTAACGTCGCTAAGCGAGGCACCACTGTATATTTCATTAATGCACTAAGCAGACACAGTCTTTCTTTATGTATACCTTATGGGGGAGGAGACCTCAGCAAACCTCAGCATTCATTCATTATCATAATGATTCCATTTATTACACTGCAATTATTCCAGGCAAATTTGTTTAGTTAATAAGCCATCTTTGGGCTTTTTATGTCTCCAGTTACTACTGCTCATCCTGGACATTGCAGACAAGATAATGAAGGCTATTTCTTCCTTTGGGGATGATTTCCATTGCTCCTTTGTGAAGGCCGCTACGAACTGAATTGACCTCAGTGTCTTCAGAGGGGGTTATATAGATGTGCTCAGTAAATAACATAGAATGGATTTCTCATTATCCTTGACATGTGTTCTCTTCTTATTTGGATTATATTGGCTGGTTTCCTATTGGTGTTCAAAGTTTGCATTACTTATTGTGGCTAATTAATGAGGAACTGGTATATATCTTGGTTGTGTGCCTGGCTAGGAGGTACCCAAAGCCTTGTGGCGCAGTGGTTAAACCACTGTACTGCAGCCAAAACTGTGCTCACAACCCGGGATTCAATTCCACATAGCCGGCTCAAGGTTGACTCAGCCTTCTATCCTTCCGAGGTCGGTAAAATGAGTACCCAGTTTGCTGGGGGGGGGGCAATGTGAAGCCTGCATAATTAACTTGTAAACTGCCCAGAGAGTGCTTGAAGCACTATGGGGCAGTATATAAGCAGCACGCTTTTGCTTTTTACCAGTTAGCTGCATTCAGCCACAGTAGGTTCTGCAAATCTCATGAGAACACGACTTCTTCTGTGGAAAATACATATTGGAATAATTGTTCTGGTTGTGCTCTGAAACTTACATGTGCTATCACAGAATACAGTCTACTATGATATGCAAGCCATCCCCATTCAAGCAGACTGGAGCTGTGCAGCAGACATGTGGCCTCCTTTTTTCAATGAAGCCACCTGATGTAGAACTAAGCCATTGATACCCTGCTGAGGATATAAGAAGCAATCTTTTGCCTGCATATTTCTGCGCTTTTAATTTTTTAAAATCCATCCCTGACACAAACAGGATGTGTGCCTGTATTTTACCAATATCTGACTTGTAGCATATTCTCATTGTTCTTTCAGATACTATGCAGCAGGTAGCCAAGACTGTGGCAAAGGTGGAGCTGTCAGACCACGTGTGTGATGTAGTGTTTGCTCTTTTTGACTGTGATGGTAAGTAAAGTTCCTTTAAAGTCTCGCTTTTCCCGTAGGGATGTAGAGCATACTTTAGTCTTAGATTAGGGCAAACCAGGTTCAAATATACTTGCAGCCACAAAGCTCTCCAGGTAGCCTTTGGGGAGCTGCTGTTTCTCTACCCTGTGTACCTTGTGTGAGGATAGCAATGAGCAGGGAAGAATCACATATGTTGTCTTGAGCTTCTGAGAGGGAAAGTGAGGCTATTTTCTTAATTAAGAATAATAGATGGCATCCAGTGGTGTCTTTCCACCAGGGATTGAATTCCCCTCTGAAAGACCCTGTGCTGGAAGGATTGGGGACACTTGGAACAGTGTTGAGGAACATGGTGGAAGGACTGGAGGAGAGATCTGGGACTGAGAAACAGTTGCACAAATAGACACATAACGTGGTATTTGGCCCAGAAGATAAAATAGAGCTCTGTGACGTCAAACAAGTGGGTTTGCAGAGATGGTGGTATTGTGCAAGTCAGAAGAAAAATGAGAAAGTACTCCTTCCTCTGTGATTATTTGCAGATAGGCTGCTTCCTCTCTGCACAGGAAAATGAGTTGGCACTGCAACAAATGTTTGTGTCTTAGAGATGAATGTTCACTCAAGATACATCCCAGTACGTTGCCAAGCTGGGCTGAACACTGAACTGAGCATATTCAGACCTCCTTTTTCTAAATGCCTCCCTGCTATGGCTTTACCATTGTATTTACCAAGATATATGATTCCACTATGATATGATATGATGTGATATGAAACAGTATATAGCTTAAATATACAGGGATCACTTTGAGACCAAGTTTGGTGCTAATGTTTGACTATAAGAAAAAAAGACTAAAGCCAACAAAGCAGAATCATCATGATCATAAGAGATTTGTACACAGAACATCTAAGAAAGAGAGACAAAGCAATACACCTTAAAATGCATAGTACAACAAAGCTAACTTCCTGCTCACCAGATCCCAAACACCAGACATGTCTGTTAGACTGTTCATTTTCTCTTTTGTTTTATGCAGTTTATATGATTTTCCCTCTGTGGAAAAAGACACACTGCAAACAATTTTGCACCTAGTGCTCTTAATTGAGTGGCAGTATCAAGCACCCCTTTATTCTTTTATTAAATTTCAAGCTACAGGGGCCTGTGCCAATGCCATGCATAAAGCCAGGCTCCTGTTCGTAGTATCTGGTGCCCTGTGCACACTCCAAGGGATGCAGTGTTGAACCTCATGCGAGAATATCACTTCAGACAAAGCTGTCCTTTGGCTGATGTCCTGCATATAGGATTGTGTGTGCACGCTGTGCAGGAGCATCCTTATCTTTGACTGCACATGCACGAAGGTCAGAACACTACTAATTGCGCTAATATATATTTTATGGCTGTTATGTCAAAGGAATTCCTTGGAACTCATTATTCCTTATGCCGAGTTCAGCATTAACATCAAACACAAGCTTTTGCTTAGGATTTCTTGGGCGTGTTGTCCAATTAGTTCACGCAGCTGCCTGTCCAACACTGAAAGTGTTGATTCTGCATCCAATTCAAAAAAGGATAAAAGACTGAATTCTTTGTGCCCTTTCATTTCCTTCAGTTTGATTTTTTTTCTTTGTAAATGACTAAACATGTTTCTTCCTCTTGTCTTAGGAACAACTTCCATGAATATGAGAAAGATTAGTTATAGTTTTCTCAGCCTTCCTCAACCACAGAAAGTAGGAAATATTTGTGAAGACACCACAATCCTTCGATAGAGTGCTAGAGTCTCTCTCTCTCTCTCTCTCTCTCACACACACACACACACACACACACACACACACACACACACACACACACATGGCCAGATGTTATTGGAGGGCAGCTGCCACCAGCCATCACTAGGGGCCAGCTTAGCTGTACCTGGTGGGAGATGCAGTGCAAGAGCATTTGGAAACCCACACGTACCCCATCCCTGTTCTAGAAGACTCAGAGGCACAGCCAGGAAGCCCTAGTGATGGTCTTTGTGTCACGGAGGCGGCAAATGGCTTCCCCTTCTTCCAGATTCTGTCCATGTCCATGGGAGAGCAGAAGATAGATGAGGAAATCCCCTCATCTTGCCTCCTCCTTTGTGTAGTCATCTCACTCCTTGCCTTTGCACAGTCTGAATTTATCATGTCAACCCCAGCCTTGTGGCTTCCCCAAACACATAATCAAAACCCCTTAATGTTGAATTGCAAAAACCCCTTAATCCTTTTTTGTCTGTAGTACTGCAGTCATACACAAATGCTTCTGAGATAAACAGAGGCTGTGTCTGTGTTGCTTGTCTAGATTTTATTTTGCTTCTGATACATTTACATCTAGAAAGAAACTAAATGGAATAGTTTAGCTGCAACTAATGTGCATCTTCTTCCCCTAATGGAACATTGAATTTTTTTTCTTCCTGATATATTTTCTGGTGTAATTTTTATTTTGACTTTTGTTGATCTCAGTGGCATGCAGCAATTTCCCGCTGTAAGCATAGGTTTCCTTGTATGTTTGAGGCACTGCTCAGAGATTCTGGCCTGCCTTTTGTGCCTGTCTATTAATGGTGATGTTTTCTATTCCTTTAATGCTTTGAGGTACGTAGCTCAGTTTAATTGTGATCTCTTTCCAGAGGGCTTTCCTGGTGCTCTTTTTAGGTTATGAGATTTCTGATTCAGCAATGCTCATTTTAAGTTTCTGAAAATGATTCCCTGAGTCAGAATTCTAAGTAAACAGCTTCTGCTAAGCAGCCATCATGCTGTTCTTTTAACTTCATACACCGAATTGGCACGCTTTATAAAAGAATGTAAAGAGGCATTGATCTTTTTCTAAAATCTCTCATCCAGGGTCTCTTAGAAGCTTCCTGCAACTTGTTCTCAAAAACAGAAAAAGGAATAACAACACAATTTCAATTTTTGAGATTGGCCTTAGACCACATTCGTTCATATGGTATACTTCTACAAGAAAATAAAAATTAAAAAACCATTTAGCAATGCATTGCATTCTTCAGGATCAGAAAAAAATTGCCAGAAAAACATAGTAGACATCATCTTTACCGTCGTTTTTATGTGAACACTAAACACTTTGTTCAGCCGTAAAGTATTGTTAAGAGGGTGAAAATAACCATAAATCCCAAAACTTTTGGCTTCTTGCCGTATGTCAGGAAAGGGCCAGTTCTAATGCATACCACTGGAATACAGTTTTAGCACCTGTCTTTATTCAAACCAAGTAGTAGCTGCCTTTTAAAAAAAAGTATCCTGACGTGATGTTCCAGTCCTTGTAAACTGTATAATTTATATCCCAGTGCATATAAATTAGTATGTCCCCTTGTTTGTTTGATCTGTAACTGGTTGCCTAATTCACAATGGCTGAAATCCTGTTTGCACAGCTACACCGTGTAGGGCTGATGACACAGTGATATTTTGGGGAATAAAAAATGTCCCCTATCTAAGGGTCTGAAGGGGTCACGTGGAATCCCTTTAATTGTGAGGAATACACTGGGAGCTGTGGGATGGGAGGAGTCTTTAATTTCTAAAAATCACTGCCAGTGGATGACTGTACCTGTGTGAACAGGCTTTCAGTCATCATCTGAATGGTTTATTTAGAACAGGGGTCAGGGAACTTTTTTACCTTTTACCCCCTAAAAAATTTATATACGCCAACATTACCCCCTTGATTTAAAGGGAGGATTTCGGTCATGCACAGCCAGTTAAGCGCCGCCGCTGAAGCCTCGCTAACCCGTGCCTGGGCTGCTTCCTTCGCCTGGCGGGGCCGCACTCAGTCCTTGGCCCCATGGGGGCAGTTCCCTTTCTCTGCCGTCAGGCGGCTCCAGGGTGGGAAGGGGACGATCGAGCAGCCAGGGACCTCCGGGTAGAAGAGAAGGAAGAGGAGCATGAGGAAAGGGGGTTAGGGTCGTATCCTCATTACCCCCAGGATTTTCATTTTTACCCCATTTGGGGTAATTTACCTGTTCCCTGACCACTGATTTAGAAGCAGTCATATAGATATTGCCAGTGAGACTGTAAGCCAGGGTCATAAACCCATAGTCAGAATCCTTTTGCCAATTTACACCTGCGTAAAAGAAATTGCATAAGTCTTGGTGATGAATTACTGTTCATTAAGAAAGCAAGTGAGGAGGAATTAAAAAGTAAGGAGGAATTAATAAGTGAGGAGGAATTAAAGAACCTTGTAATGAGGGTGAAAGAGGAGAGTGCAAAAAACGGCCTGAAACTCAACATCAAAAAAACTAAGATCATGGCCACTGGTCCCTTCACCTCCTGGGAAATTGAAGGGGAAGATATGGAGGCAGTGACAGATTTTACTTTCTTGGGCTCCATGTTCACTGCAGATGGAGACAGCAGCCACGAAATTAAAAGACGCCTGCTTCTTGGGAGGAAAGCGATGACAAACCTCGACAACATCTTAAAAAGCAGAGACATCACCTTGCCGACAAAAGTCCGAATAGTCAAAGCTATGGTTTTTCCTGTCGTGATGTATGGTAGCGAGAGCTAGACCATAAAGAAAGCAGACCACCAAAGAATTGATGCCTTTGAATTATGGTGCTGGAGGAGGCTCTTGAGAATCCCCTGGACTGCAAGGAGAACAGACTTATCCATTCTAAAGGAAATCAACCCTGAGTGCTCACTGGAAGGATAGAGTCTGAAGCGGAGGCTCCAGTACTTTAGCCATCTCATGAGAAGAGAAGACTCCTTGGAAAAGACCTTGATGTTAGGAAAGTGTGACGGCAAGAGGAGAAGGGGACAACAGAGGATGAGATGGCTGGACAGTGTCTGCGAAGCAACCAACATGAAATTGACACAACTACAGGAAGCAGTGGAAGATAGGAGGGCCTGGCGTGCGCTGGTCCAGGCGGTCACAAAGAGTCGGACACGACTAAACGAATGAACGAATGAACGAAAGAAAGTAATGGTTGTAATCTATGGAGCATGGACTTCCCCTTATGCAAGTGTAAACTGGCAAAAGGACTCTGGCCTGTGGGATT